TTCTTTTAAGTTCTCTGAATTTGTTCCAAAAGAGCAAAAAGAGGTCAGTCATCCAGTAAGAGAACGATTTCAGAGAACTGAAAAGAAGTACAGTAAGACAATAAGACACTACATGACTTAAGTTCAACAAACTATATTATCGCATAGTAAATTCAGTATGTCAATTCCAACATGTCAGTTTTTGCACGAGAGAGTAAGAGAGAACCTTCAGACGATTTATATTCATTTCTTCATTTAAATTAATTTTTTTATTTCAAAGAATGAAAAAAAAAATAGTCATCAAGTAAAATAACAGTTTCAAAGACCTAAAAAAAAGTACAGTGAAATAGTAAGACACTGCGATACTGAAGTTTCAACAGACTCTAATTATTCTTACATTGTTAATTTTGTACATTAATTCCCACATGTTTGTTTTGATATGAGAGACTAAGAGAGAACTTTCAGATGATTTATATTTGTTTCTGCATGTGAATTATTTTTTTTATTTTTACAAGTCTTAAAATAAAAAAATTAATTCAGTTTTGACACAAGAGACTAAGAGAAAACCTTTAGATGATTTATATTCGTTTCTGCATCTAAATTAATTTTTTTATTTCAAAGATAGGAAAGAGGTGTCAAACATCCAGTAAGAGAACAATTTTAGAGAATTAAAAGAAATACAATGAGACAGTGAGACACTGAAAGATAAAAGTTTCAGCGGACTATTATTATTCTCGCATTGTCAATTTAGTATCTTCATTCAAGTATGTGAGTTTTGACATGAGAAACTAAGAGAGAACCTTAAGATGATTTGTATTCGTTTCTGCATCTGAATAAAATTTTTTATTTCTGCAAGTGACAGAACTGTTGAGATTGAAGTATCATTGATACAGAGTCACTGTCGATCCACGAGTATCAAATCCCTTATAGTGGGGAACAATTGTGAGGTACAGTTGAGGTAAAGAAGTGATGAGATTTCACCTTCCTAAGTATTAATGTAGTATGAAGTTCAAAAAACTTGTGGCTGTGACACATCAAAATGTAATAAATATTATTCTTATAATGGAGAGAAAATTTGATGGCATAAAAATATTCAGCTATACTTGACCAGCAATTGTCGGTAAAGGGACTTTGTGTCTTTTGACTAAGTTGTCTGTCCAAAAACGTTATCATGAAGATAAGTATAAAAAAGTTCAGGTTTGCTTGACCAAAGAGTTGCAAGTAAAAGTGACTTCTTATTTTTTGACTAAGTTGCCTATCTACTGTCCCGGATAAGGGAACATACCTCTCTAGGACCAATATTTCGATACTTCCTTGGGGTTGACAAGAGGTCTCTTAGAAGTATTCTCAAACGAGAGAAGAGACCTCTCTGGATGAGTATCGCTATATTTCCTTAAGACTGACGAGAGGTTTCTTGGAAAATTCGCAGATAAGGGAATGAACTTCTCTGAGATCGACACTTTGTATTTTCTTGAGACTGATGGGAGGTCTCTTGGAAATACTTTGTTGGGTATTGTTCGTTGTTGTTCAATATCTCTTGAGACTGAAAGGACGTCTCAGAGATATTTGTTCAGTTATCTGGGGCGTGGATTGTTTGACTGTGGGTTTGATATGCTTGCTTCACTGTCTGTGCTTGGGTTTTCTTCTCTAATCTAAAATGTCATTAATTGCCGGGGATAGCTAGAGCCTTACCACAGTAGGTTGCAATCTGGTGGGGTCACCAGGTCCCCGTCTCGAGTGTCAAATTTCGTAGTTGATTGAGGCTAAGACTCCGAAAGTCTGGACTGTGAGTTCAAAAGGGGTCAATTGGAACCTTACCGCAGTCAGTGGTTGAAATCCAGTCGGTTCGCAAGAGGTCGAATCATAGTTAGATCGGGTCCTACGTCGGGGCAGCCAGCGCCCTAGGCCGAAAATTGGTGGATGAGTCGGTCCCCGTCCACCGTGGTCGAATCCAAGTTTAGGACAGTCGAACTGGCAGGAGATCTATTGTCTTAGGGTGACCAAACCCGCTATAGTCTGAGTGTTCTGGTGTGACGCGTACCAAAGGGTCATTATACTCGAGTAGTGGGTAAGGTGGTCCTTATATGAAGGTTGGTTAAAGGGGCTGTCAAGACAAATGGTCTAAATTAGTCGTGGCCTGAGGCGGCTCGAATGAGGGATGTCAGGCTGACCGGAAATCTGTCACCCCTGATCAGTCAGTGGTGGGCGGAAACCAAGGCAATTGATGACTCCTGGGTATGGAAAACTGTTTATATTATTTATTAATTTATTATGGGTTTTTAATTCTAATTATTATATTTAATTGTTGATTGACTATTGTCTGTCAGAGAATTTGCTTACTGAAAACCTAGTTGGTTGTTTGTGGAACTTACTGTTTTGGAGGTTTATGCATGTTTACGTCAAGTTCCCATATTAGAGAAAGAAAAGGGGGTTTGGTGTCCCCTTTATCTGTCTGAGAAGTTGAGGAGACGCCTCACTCAAATCAGAGAAAGAAAATGGGGTTTGGTATCCCCCTCGGTTGCTTGAGAATTTGAGAGAACGTCTCACTCAGGCTAGAGAACAAGGAAAAGGGTTTGATACACCTTATCCTCGGCACGGCTGATAGCAAATGTCCACAACACTGACGTCAAATTGACAATATCCTCGACATTACTCTCAAGGTGAAGAACGGGGTAACCTCTTCACTGGAAAAAGTTCAAAGCGAAATCAGATTTTAGAATGACGAGAGGTCAAAGTCAACTGCAGATGAAAAACTGAAATTTAATCCTTTTTAGAATTTTATTTGGTGACCGGCAGAGCGGCTTAGTTCACGAGGAACCTGCATCCCTGACCTCAAGGTATTCAAACACTTAATCTAGAGACGCTATGAAACACGACATAGATTGAAAAGTCAAGAGCAGAAAAATCAGCAAATTCAAGGAAAGAGCTCGTACTTATACAAGATATAGAAGATATCCATGAATTTTATTTGGAGTAAAGTAAAAAGAAAGAAAATACAAAAGAGAGTACACCTATTAAGCTGAGCCTGAGGAGAAGCTATACATGGGACAAAGGGTGAGGGCACTGACACTAGAGCCTTACTTGTCGCAGAAATAATTGAAGCTTTGGGAGAATATAGAGGGGAGAAAGAGCGTGGGGCGCCATAGCGCGCCTCAAACGTTTTCTAATAATACTTCATCCTCATAGGGGGGATCCTCGTAGGGGATGAAGTTCTTTCATACCAACAAGCTAAAGAGTGATGTGGATATGGTATTGTATGGGAATCATACCTTCACTCCTCTTCTTCCTCCTCCTTTGAGTTGTACTCGCGCCGTGCGCGAGGGTACGGCTCTTCACGAGCCTTACCCCCTCTTTCACCTCGTCCCCTTCCCTGTCCTCGACGCGCCTCAGGCATGGTGCAAGAAGAGTAAAAAAGAAAGACGTGAAGCGATGAAGATCGAGATTGAGGAAATACTATGAGAATAAGGGATGCCGCACTACCAAGAAAGGAAGAGGGAAGCAACTATGTGGATTGTGCAGAGTTGCTGAAGTGTGAAAAGGAAGGAGTGCGCAACGAAAAGGAAAAGTGGAGAATGCTTGTGTTGTGATAAGCTTGAATCACCTACTAACGCCAACCTACTATGAGGGCACCACTGTGAATTGCTGTAATAATGGATGAGTGTACCCCTGACTTTTGTTGTTTTATACTAATTGCCCTTTTCGTTTTTGGCCCAGCGGGAACGCTGACGCGGGTTTGGTATCATGTCGGAAGGCGCTGTGTCCCGACCCTCCGTGGCATACCACGCTCCCTGCTCACGGCCTTCCGCGGCGTACCAGGCTCCCTGCTCATGACCCTCTACGACATACCAAGCTCCCTGCTCACGATCCTTTGCGGTGTACCAAGCTCCCTGCTCACAAACCTCCACGACACACCAAGCGTACTTGGGTTGCACTCTGTTGCAGGACTGGTCCAGTCGGCGCTCCCACTACCAAAAGAAGGGGGTGTGCCACTCGACTTCCATTGGTCAACGCAGGCTCGGTGCCCTGCTGTACAGCAGAGCACAAGCGGCCTGTGTTCGTGGTAGCCATCGGGCTCTACCAGGGACGCGACAATGAAAGACCAAACAGTCTTTTCAATTGTGCACCATTCCCAGCAGTCAACTTATGGGATAGGTACAGTGACTATAAAAGCTCAAAAAGAAAATTGTAAAGAAGAAAAACAAAAGAAGAGGAAAATGAAGACGAAGCGCTGTGTTTTATACTTGTGGCCGGATCCAGACTGCGGCTTTAGAAAATGTTAAATCCGACGGTCCCTAACACTCATAGCGCTAGGGACTTTTCCTTTTCTTCCTTTTTTTTTTTCCCCCTCCTTTTTATCTAGTCTTTTCGAATTTCTAGTTCCCCACTGTCACTTCGTCGGGGAACAAACAATTTAAGTTTCAAATTCATAATTTTGTATTCGTGGCCTAGACTACCCAACTCTTTACGCTTTAGTTGCCCTGGGTCTTACTTGCGGAGGTAGGACCTCAAAATAAGGGCAACCCGTGGCTGCTTGGGAAGGAGGCTTATTCCCTCCCGCGGAAGGTTGTAAGCCCCTTCCTTGGCATTGGACATGGGTACCCATCAAGGGTAGTCTGATGGCCTCCTAAAAGAAGGAAGGAGGAAATCGGTCAGTATTCCGTTATGGGACCACTGCGCATAGAGTCCACAGTCTTCTCAGATCGAGTTGAAAAGATTGTTGGCACTGATCGAAGAGGGCACCTCCTTAAGTGACCGTTGGATTCAGACAATTTGTTTTTCCCTAGTTATTATTGGTAAAAATATTTTTTTTAATATAGTCCTATTTTAAAATTGTTCCTAATCATCCTCCTTAGGACGCAAGGATTATGAGGCGTCTCGGCAGCTGATTGCACGTTCCACGATTGTTCGACGTTCTTTTGGTAGGCTGTCCGGCGTGACGTGCCTACGTGCGCCTCGGCCATCGCTCCTTGCGGCTGCTCGTCACACCCGCTACCTGGTTGATCCTGCCAGTAGTCATATGCTTGTCTCAAAGACTAAGCCATGCGCGTCTGAGTGTGAACACTTTGCACTGTGAAACTGCGAATGGCTCATTAAATCARTTATCATTTATTTGGTGGTCTCCTTACCACTCGGATAACCGTGGTAATTCTAGAGCTAATACGTGCAGCATATCCCGACTTCTGGAAGGGATGTATTTATTGGATAAAAGGCCGATCCGGGCTTGCCCGTTGTTGCGGCGAATCATGGTGACTTGTCGAATCGCATGGCCTTTGAGCCGGCGATGTTCCATTCAAATTTCTGCCCTATCAACTTTCGATGGTAGGATAGAGGCCTACCATGGTGGTAACGGGTGACGGAGAATTAGGGTTCGATTCCGGAGAGTGTTCTTATTAAAAAAAGGAGAAGTGACTGTGTTACTCACTATTGGCCAACCAGTGTATGATCAGAAGTCGGGATAGCCGTGCTGGAAAGTGGCGTGTTCAGGTCGAGGCCGTTTTTAATTTTTGGTGTTCAGTGCCTCGTACGTATTGTTTAAGTGCAGACAGTTGTTGTGGCCTTAGGCGTTGGCTATAGCAGAAAAGGTGGCTATGGTGTGCAGAAAAGGGTTGGAGGGCTATAGGCCTGACTGCTGGAGGCTCTTGGTATGCTGGGCCTTAGCATCGGGGGAAGGTCCCTGGATCACGACGATCCTGAATTTTGACGAGGAAGATGCTAGGCTCATGATCAACGTCAAAGGTGGTAAGGAGTTGGAAATGAGGCAAGACCAAAAGCTGCAGGCTGCAATCACCGAGGCTAAGAACAGGGCGGAAAGGAGGCTTCGGCGGGACCACGTTACGACCTGAATAGAGGTTACTATCGCCTATCACGAGACGAGAACTTCAACTCGAACGACCGAGAGGGAACAACAGTGCCTGGACCGTGACTCAGAGGCAGAGAGTGAGGCGAGCGACGCGGAGACCCAGTCTTGGCATGGACTGGACTAGTGGCGACGGGACCATCCGCCCGCCGAACTAGTTGCGTTTGTGGAAGATGGCCCCAAGGACAACTCTCGAGATCAGATATGAGGCCTAGATCGTAAAAATAGAGATGGGCGGTCAGTCAGGGACATGGTATGAGGTGATGTATGTGCGGAGTGCGGGTCCGAGAAAAGGATAAGGTCAACGTTTGATGTGTGTGTACGCTTAGGCATTGTTGAAGATATCAATTACCCTCTCGTTACCTCGGTGACATTGTTCTGTTAGTCAAAGCAGGGTTGAACTCAAGTGGTGACCTATGAATGAGAGAATGTGCCCTGGAGAAGGAACACATGGTTTGCGCAAGGGAGGCTTGCATGTACACTACAATTGACGTTGCTTGCTTGATGATGGGATGTACACAGCGTCACCTACTTGTTGACACCAACACACGGCAACGGAGTACCTGAAAAGCCCAAGGCAGACACAAGCGATGACAAAGCATCTTGATCCAATCTACATCGCCGCTATTACTAACTTCCCCTTTATTAAAGTGAAGTGTAGTGAACAATCAAGCGGGGTCTTAGCATTATGAAATCAGACGCTGATATGCTAGATATCAAATAGCCATCAGAGCCAGACATTACTAAAGCAAACGAAAAAGAACCTCTCACAGGAGCTCTGCGTAAATATATGTTGTTGACATCACATGTTTCCATACAGTATGGATCACTTTCTCGAGTTGAAGTGATGAGGTTGAAAGTCGAAGCGTTGAACAGGTTATTCGTGGTTTGTACAAATCATTGAAGCCAGGTGGTTGTGGAATGTTCTCACGAAAATTCTACGCGTAAGTCCCTGATTGATATCAAAAGTGTTTTTCATGTTCTAACTGCGCGTACTGTGAGGAAAACAGTTGTTGGTTGGACTAAGAACTATCGGTATGCATGAGAGGGATAAGTCAAATTCACATTGTAAGTCATAGTTCCATGAGGACGTGATCGTCAGCAATTCACCTGACAACGACTGCCCGAACTGTTAGTGGTTGTTTTTGTCTTAGAGTCCGGTAAGAGTAAGGGATATATCAGGTCGTTCAACACTATCCTGATCTGACATAGTCAAATTGGAGACATGGCAAATGTGATCATGACCTGTCTGAAGGTGGATTATAGTAATTGAAACTGAAAGTACATTTCATCAGGTAAAATTGAGCGCGATTGCAGAGGTTGATTTTCCTTTGTACTCTTCCGAATATCGTTTGACAGTCAAGCAATCTCTTAGGGACCTGTACGTACTGGCAAAATTACACTTGCGAACTTATGAATTAATTGTCCAGAGTTTTTTAAACGTATGAGTTTGTTGATATTGCATGTGAAGGAAAATAAAAAAAAATGATCAAAGAAGACCGCATGAGCTGGCCTTGGGAACAAGATCAGTTCGAGCGTGATTCTCTAACCCTAGTGACTTTCCATTGTTGTCGTTGATGGGCAAAAGACAATCTTTGATGCGAAGGATATAGCTTACTTGCTGGTTAAGTACCTACTTGATGGTGATTAGGAGAGAGGAGATGAGTTTTTTGCATACTGATGTCAAACTTCGGGTCTACATGAAGAAAAAAATAGTAGCACACCTTTGCATATTGATGAGTTTCTTGCGTACGGATGTCAAGCTGCGGGTCTACAAGAAGGGATTGAGTGTTCTTTGCAGCAAGTGGTATGTTGAGAAAATACCAGTGGACGAATCATAATTCACTCAATTGCTTTTGTTTGTCGTTTGCCTTAGCAACAAAATGTTGCTAAACGCTTCGATTACAAGCCAATAACAGTGAATCCTTTGCCGCCAATGCGAGTAGTATGTTTGTTGGGGGCAAGCTTGAATGTGTTCAAGTAATGAAGACTTCCCTGCGTACTCCCTAACCTTTCCAGCCAAGAGTTATTACAAAGGGATCATTGTGGAGAAAGGGAGAAATCACGGGAAGCAAGGACACTCTAGTAATGCCTAATACTCTCTATCGGGATAAGGTGGAAGGTTGGGAGAAGAAAGTCGTTAAAGAAATCCGATGTCTCATAAGACCAATGCGAAAGCATACGCTAGAATTCGTGAAGGACTTGAAGCTCGTCGAGTATATCTTTTATTTCCACGGATCAGACGGAAAATTACATAGTACATTTTCATCCATTGAGGTTGTTGATCGAGTAAGGGAGATCATCAGTAGCCAGCACTGAACTTATTCTTGTTATCGTCCTCAAGATCCAGTCTAATTATCTCATTTCAAATTAACTAAGAAAAGATCAAGATGCAGTTGAGAACAAATAATCCTATTTAGTAGCACCAATTGTTTGAATTATCAATTGGAGAAAAATAGAGAAAAAAAGAAATAAGAATCGTCTTATCAGTAACAGGTAAGACACAACGAAAGAGATCGGACAAGTAAAAAGACATTGAAACAAACTACATTGACATAATTCAGGAATCGGATGGGAAAGAGAGCACTTAGCATTGTTAAGAGACAATCCATAATCGAGTACACAGTGTATTATCAGAACGAGAGTGGTGAGACGATCAACACCGCCACATCATCCCAGAGAGTAAAACAAGTGGGAAATATCATAAGCAACCAAGAGTAATTGTCGTTCACATGAGTGTTGTTCAGTTATTTCCAATTGAAGGGTCGGTCTTGACCGAACTCTACCAAATTGCTCTCAAGGATGCTTTTTAGTACCAATATGCCAGTGCAGTTGGTTTCAGACAGGAAGATCTGTCAATCTTCGTGGTTCTCATTGAGTTTGTAGAGAGGATGATTCATGAACCGACGATCTATGTGAAGAAAGGCAAGGAAACTCATGATCACATTGATTTACTCTGGATCTCTGCAGCCAAATATCCTTAGGAGAGAGAGAAAGAGTTTGATGAGAGTGGCGCAAGGCTAATCCGTAGCTTTGGGCCCAAACTCTACATTGATTATCTCAGACCCCCATTTCCTTTCATTCTCAAAGATGGTTCTTGTTGGGGTGACCTGGTTGATTTGGCCAAGAGGTATATCTCCCTGCAGACAGTGACTGAATACTCAGAGTTTCAGCATCTCAGATGAGGGATCTTCTCTAAGTCATATCCTCCTACTCTGTGGGAGGAGTACTGCGCTATGCTTGATTTTTGTGCCTTGGATGACTGTATTTGGAACTTACAGGCTTTAGGTGGTTGTACATTTCTAAGCCACAATCTTAGAAGGCACATAGACGTGGCCCAAGGCACAGGAGACACACTGTCAAATGAAAGATTGAGGATGAAATTTGAGAGGGAGAGTGAGGACTCTTGATGAGCGTTGACCATGTCTATTTATCTGTACTTTCTTAGATTATTATGAGTTCTCACCTTCCCTCATTTATCTTGTCTTTGCATTGAGTCAGTTAGTACTGATCCGCTTGCATTGACGTTGCTTGAGATTATGCTTCCTAATGATATCGTCACAATTCTCAAAATTACTAAATTGGCAAACTTGATACCTGCGAAGTGCACCGACCGTGTTCAGTTTGTCGATTGTCCGAACATTCGGTTGTTCGCCCGAACGAGAAGCGAACGTGTTCACACGAACGTCTTTCCGAGGTCTGCGAACACATTCACCCAGCGGGCGTTACCGGCCCTCCGAAGGGTCTTGGGGGCAGGTGGGGGACCTGGGGGCGGGTTTGGGCGGGGGGCGTGGTGGGAGGGGGCAACCAGGGCCCGCGTTCGAATTCGAATCGGCCAGGCCAACCATCCCCGCCGCTCCAGACCACGCAACTGCTGCCATCGTCGACATCGATGCAGCCTCGCAGTGAGCACGTCATTGCCGTGGTAGGTGTCCATCCCCCTCCTCCTCCTCCTCCTCCCAGTCGCCGTCCTTCTCCTGTACTTCTCCTCCTCTTCCTCCTCCTCCTCGTCATCTTCATCCTCCTGTATTTTCCTCCTCCTCGTCCTCCTCCTCCCCGTCGTCGTCCTCCTCCTGTAATTCCTCCTTTTCCTCCTCCTCCCCATCGTCGTCCTCCTCTTGTTCTTCCTCCTCCTCCTCCCCATCGTTCTCCTCCTCCTATACTTCCTCCACCTCCTCCTCCTCCTCCTCCTCCCCGTCGTTATCCTCCTCCTATACTTCCTTCTCTGCTCCTCCTCCTTCTCCTTTTCCTCCTCCATTGACCAACGAGCGGCTGCCACGTCAATACGCGCCTAATTTTTTTATTTTTTTTTGTTCTTTTTCCTCCTCGTAATCCCCCTCCTCCTCCTCCTCGTATTTTTCTTCTCCTCCTCTCCTCCTCGTATTCTTCTTCTTCTTCTCCTTCTCGTATTAACGGCCTCTTCCTCCTCCCCCCCCCTTTTTTTTCTTTTGTTTGATCAATCAATCAATCAATCAATCAATCAATCAATCAATCAATCAATCAATCGATCAATCAATCGACCAATCGATCAATCGAAGATCCTATCGAATCGCTGCAATTATTATTTGCATGATCTTTGTTGTTTCGAATCATAATAAAAGCTTCCG